ACGGCCCCAAGGAGTGGGACCTACAGCCCTACGGGGGGGACCTACAGGCCCCAAGGGGGGGACCTACGGCGCCAAGGGGGACCTATAGGCCCCAAGGGGATGGACCCACCGCCCCAAGGGGGACCTATTACACAAGGTTTTTCACAAAGTTCCTGGATTGATTATGAGGGAATGTTTTCTCCTATAATGGATGCAATTACGTTCATATATTTAATCAGCCTAACAGTTTCTGAAAATTTTGAGATGCGTCTTATGGATGTTGTTACAACTTATTTATACGGATCGCTTGATAGTGATATTTATATTATGAAGGTTTTGAGAATAATGAGATCTCTATTGACTATATCAATACAAGAGGATTATGGAATCAAAATGAAATTAAAAATATTGATGAAATATTTTCTCTTTGTGGCATGTGAAATTATAAACGGAACTAAGGATCCTAAACCAAGATCTGTTTCTGAATGCCAAAACAGAGACAATTGGATCAAATGGAAAAATACTATATAGGCTGAGTTAAATTCGCTTAATAAGCGTAAAAATTTTGGACCTATTGTCTTAACGCCTGAAGCCGTGAGATCTGTGGGATACAAATGGTTTTTGTGTGAAAACACAGTGAGAAAAATGAAATTGTAAGGTATAAAGCTCAACGTGTTGCATAAGGTTCTTCACAAAGACTCGAGATTGATTATGAGGAAACGTATTCTATTGTAATGGATGCAATTACGTTCAGATATTTAATCAGCCTAACAGTTTTTAAAAATTTAGAGATGCGTCTTTTGGATGTTGTTACAGCTTCTTTGTATGGATCGCTTGATAATGATATTTATATGAAAATTCATTATGGATTTTAAATTTCCTGAAGCACTAAATTTAAAACCGAAAGATATATATTTGATTAAGTTACAAAGATCATTATATGGGTTGAAGTAATCCGGACGCATGTGATACAATCGCTTAAGCAAATATTTGTCAAAAGAAGGATATGTGAATAATCCCAAATGCCCATGTGTTTTTATTAAGAGAAGAACATCTGGTTTTGTTATAATTGCTACCTATGTCGATGATTTGAACATCATTGGAACTCATAAAAAAATTGAAGAAGCTGTGATATACTTAAAAAATGAATTTGAAATAAAAGACCTTGGAAAAACAAAATATTATCTTGGTTTACAGATTGAGCACCTTCAAAGTGGAATACTTGTGCATCAATCAAACTATACTAAAAAGGTCTTAAAACACTTTAATATGGATAAAGCAAACCCTTTATGTACTTTAATGATTATTAGATCACTTAATGTTGAAAAGGATCCATTTTGCATTTGCAAAGGTAATGAACAAGTCCTTGGTCCTGAAGTATCATATTTAAGTGCAATAGGAGATCTTATGTATCTTGCTAATTGTACCCGACCAGATATAACTTTTGCTACTAATCTATTAGCAAGATTTAGCTAATCTCCTACACAAAGGCATTAGGCATATATTCCGTTATCTTCAAGGAACATTTGATTTGAGATTATTTTATCCTAAAGGATCAAAATAAGGGATGACTGGTTTTACAAATGCAGGGTATTTGTCAAATCCATAGAAAGTCAGGTCTCAAACTGGATACGTGTTCACACGTAGAGGTACTGCTATTTCATGGCATTCACGAAAGCAAACACTTATTGCCACTTCTTCAAATCATGCCGGAGTTATTGCACTCCATGAAGCAAGTCGAGAATGTGTATGGTTGAGGTCTATGACTCAATATATCTAAGAAACTTACGAACTATCTATCAGTAAAGATCCAACAATATTATGTGAAGACAATGCAGCATATATGTCGCTCAAATAAAGGAAGGTTACGTCAAAAGTGACATAACGAAACACATACCCCCAAAGTTCTTCTCATACTCCCAAGAGCTCGAAAAGAATAAGGATATTGATAATTCAATACATTCGATCGGTGACAAGGCAACAGATCTTTACACAAAGGCGCTTTCCACTACAACATTCAGAAAACATATCCATAGTCAACTTGAGGGGGAGTTTACGTGGCTGTACTCTTTTTATCTTATTATGGTTTTATCCCACTGGGTTTTTCTAATAATGTTTTAAATGAGGCAGCATAAACACGTATAGATAAATGATGTACTTTTTTCCCTTTGCTATGGTTTTTGTCCCACTGGGTTTTTCCTAGCAAGGTTTTTAATGAGGCATTATGAATGACAGACATCTAAGGGAAAGTGTTATGAATAGTAGTTGTCTACTTCAGTCAAAGTTATTGTTCATGTCAGAATCTTACTGCGCAAATAGTTATCATGAATAGTGTTGAATTTTTTTTTTTTTTTTTTTATAAATAGCGCTTTAAAGCTCTTCATTTTGTATATCTTCACAAAATTAATGAAACTCTCTCTCTGTCTCTAGTTTCTCTCTCTAAAATTTTTCTTCTTAGTTTTATATTTTCTTAATTTTCATAACAGTTGAATTATTATTATATGTGGATTGGTGATTGGTCCAGTCAGCTGACCCCACTTTATTTAACTCTTGGTTTTTATGTTCTTCATTCATTCATTCATTCATAGTGTTATTATGGCATGGGAATGTTGTTATCACAAACCATCAAGCATTATTGAACCTAAAATAATACTACCCTATGGTATCTTTTGTTTTTCTTTTTATTTTTCTTTAAGGAAATTGAAACTCTAAGAACTTTGAACATGAAAGATAACATGTGGATTTTCGTTATACTATACCTACAAGCTACAACCACAAATTGAATGGTATTAATTGTTAATCAATTTTTAAATGGAAAAGATGATATGGTTTAGCAACCGATTTGATAAAATATAATTAAAAGAGAGTATTAGTCGGTTGAGATTGCTAATGTAATTTAACGTATATTCACTCTCAACTCCACTTCAAAGTGTAATTAATATAATTTCAAATCTTTAAAATTAAAAAATATAGGACAAAAATAGTTATAATTGATTTGCACTATCAAATTTGAAGATAGAAAGTGATATGGTTCGGCAATTAATTAATTTACACTCAATCATAAACTTGAAAATAACAAAAAAAATATGTAGATGCAGGGGATCGAACCCTGTGCCTCTTCATTGCAAAGCGAGCGCTCTACCATTTGAGCTACAACCCCGAAGTTGTTGGTTTGTTCAAATATGCTTTAAATTAAAATTAATAATAGGGACATTCTATTGTGATGAGACCTAGACGCTGTTGCGATGGTTCAGCACCAAACAATGATGTTCGATGTTCAACTCCCGATTAAGTTATTGAAATTTTCTAGTTTTTGAACACTATATATGTATTGTAAATACTGCTATTAAGACAGCTAAAACATTAAGGTATATCTGTGGCGCAAGTAAGGTTATGAAGACCAGTCAGCTAATTTAAATATATAATTTCAATTATTTTGTAAGTTCGAGTTAAAAACTTGAGTTGATAAATAAATTTTTATGAAAGAAAATACTGTAACAAAAAGGTTGAATTATGATTCAAACCAGGACATGGTTTGTACAATTATTATTATTATTTCTTTTTTCCGCTTGTATAATTTTAGTTTTTATTAGCGTATAGTTTCAATGCTATAAGGCGCCTGCATAATTGTTGAGCCCCACACATAAGCACACATATATATGCATCAAACTACTGCCCTATAGCATATGTATATGCGTGTACTTATTCCCTAGCTACAACGTTACCGACTACCTTCCAATGTTGGTCGTCATGCATGAGGAAACTACTTATGTAAAGGATAAAAATTTCATACTCTCGCTCTTCAAGGGGCAATCAGTTTTATCATACGAGTCTATATTTTTCGGTTTTAGAAAAATTGGGTGCAAAAAATTAAGGGTGGCAATTCATATTAGTGAGTCGTGTTCATGTCAACATGTTTATTAATCGTGTCAAAAAACATCAACCAAAACACGATCTGTTTATTAATCGTGTCAGAAAACATCAACCAAAACACGATCTGTTTATTAAACGTGTCAAAAATATCAACTCAAGCACGACTTATTTATTAATCGTGTTAAAGTGTCAACCCGTATAACCCGTTCAAATTAATGTATTGAATAAATAACTAATATAATAATGACTTATTTAACACTGTTAATACAGGTTTAACATGTTTATTGGTCAATTTATTTTTTCCTTTAAGAAAAATAAATGAATTTTACCTACAAATATTAAAATTCACATTATTTATATTTAATATATTATATAAACTTTCATGTTATATTACATATAAGTACATTGCAGATGACACATATAGTTAATCGTGTCAATTCGTATTAGGAAGTCAACCCAAACTCAATCTATTTATTAATCGTGTCAACCCGATTATGACCAAAACTCATTTATAGTAAACTTAAACCCACTAACTTCGTACGTGTTTTGAGTCGTATCATCGTGTTGCTACCCAGATTACCAGCCCTACAAAAAAATGCTTGCTAGCTAAAGTTATAACTGAAAATGATCTGATCGGTACTGGATAAAGAAACACGCCTTTATCTCCAGCAAAGACATAAACTGATATATAAGTGCTGCCAGCTTGTGTTGATAAAACTATTTTCTCAATCCACAACTGTTTCAAAACATATATGTGTGTGTATATACATATGTATCCTCATTTATTTAAGGAATATAGTTAAGAAAGAGTTATAAAGAAATTAATATGATCGGAAAGAGTGTTAAGTATTTGTATTCAATCTATAGCTAGTAAATGTATGGACAATTAATTTTCTTCAATAATATTATACATATAGGCAAAATAAGAATCAAGAAACAACCAACATTTTACAAAGTTCACAAAAGCTTCTTTTTCCAAATTAAACAAGCTTGCCATGCACGGATCATCAAAACCCATCAACTGGTCTGCTCTCTAGTAGTATCACCAGGAGACGCCGATGCACTTTTGGAGGCCGAAAACGACAACGAATTAGGCGATGAGAACATCAAGTTCCCTGCAGGCTGCGAATTCCCCACCAACCCCTCTTTGTTTAGAAACGTCGACGAGCATCCGCCGATCCCCGTACTATTATGATCATGATGATGAGTATGTTCACCACCCCACTTCAGCTTTTGAACCACGTTATTGTAAATATTACTATTATGATCTCCACCACCCTGAACAACATTATTACTTCCTTGTCCTCCGCCGATGACAGAGGTAAATGCGGCAACCAAAGCGGACTGGAAAGTGGGGTCCGCGGTGATGGCTTTGGTGGCGGCAGCAATGGTGTCCGGGAGTACCATAGACTGTACTTGATTGGTGCTAGGGTTACCTTTTTGCATGGAGTTATGACTATAATAATTGACGTTGTTGTTGTTGTTGTTATTGGCATGCAACGACGTCGTTTGTCTTCCAAGGCTAGCTAGAGCTCCTATTTGGCTTTTCAAGTTGTAGGCCTGAGTAGTACTACTTCCATAGCTGAGGAAGCCATTGTTGTTATTGTGGTTCCAAGACGTGTTTGTGTTGGAATCTGAAGAGCCAAAGCTGAGACTTGTGGAAGGGTACCAGGTGGTATGATGAGGATAGTTGATTGGTGATATTGAAGATGAAGAAGAGAATTTGTTGAGAGAGGAGGATGACGGGGTTGTAGTGAGATCAAGAGTGATTGTTGGGTGAGAAGATGAGAAGGATGAGTAAGGTGAATATGGTGATGAGATGAATTTGTTGAAGTTCCATTTCGAGCTATCGAAGGTGCTAAATCCGTGGAGCTCGGTGGATGGGGGACGGGTGCCGGAGGAGGTTGATGAGCCGGAGAGAAGCATTGAGGCGGCTGCGGAAGTGGTGGAAGCCATCGCCGTGGCGGAGAGGGGAAGCGGGTGGTTGTGAGTCCCTTCGTAGGTGGTGATTAGGATGGATATGTCATCGGCATATCTTTGTACCTAAAAGCAATTACATAAGAAAGAATAAGTTTAAGATTTTGCTATGAATTTTAATTATTAATAAGAAATCTTTTCGGCACCTTATTATGGATCATAAGGTATTTTATAAACGTCATACGGCAAGTTTCCTACCTTCTAATGTGTGAAGGAGTATGTGAGAAGTTAGACGTACAAATTAATTATTAATTAACTTCAAATTACCTGTTTTCTTACTGGACATGACGGTGCAACAGTGCAACGATAATATGCCCGAGGGCACGGGTTTCCTTTTGCAATCTTTTGACCGTATTTCCTCCATTGGCATCCATCATTCATCTGTATAAATATCAAAAAGCCAAAAAAAAAAAAAAAAAGGTTCAATACAGACATAAATAATGATCATATATATAGCGGATATGTTGAATGCTACTAATTGAATAAATTAGAAAACTAACATGATATATACATATATAAATATAAACACATATACGTAGTACCATAAATGAAACATAGGAATAAGTGCCTTAATGTATGCATAACATATATATAGACACTAACCGTTGGGGTATCACATCGAGCTCTCACACAAACCCTAGCTTTCTTAACTTGGTTTTGTTGTGAAACTTCATCTTCAGCACTTCTCTTTTCCTTTAAAACTTTGCTAGGCGGCCATGTCTCCCCGGCTTCTTCCTTTGGCTCTTCAAAGCTGCTCACGGCGCTAGGGTTTGACACTGCCGGTCCTCCTTGATCCGTTGCTCCCGATCTTGACGCTTCATTAATGTCCTTGTAATTACTCAATCCCAAAGACAAGCCTTCTTTAAGTACTTGCTTCTCATTTTGATCTTTCTCAACATCAATAACATTGTTACTTGGAATTTTATTTTTTACTTCCTTATTGATTTTGGGATTAGAAGAAAAGCTTCCGAGCGTAAGGGAGACGAGCTTGGTTTCTTCGACTGCTTCATCGTGATTGTTTTCTGAATTCTCAATGGATTTCTTTGCAGCTTCTTGTTGAACAATGTTGTTAAATTGCATTTGAAGGGTTTCGTAGTCCTTCATTATTCGACCCAAGTACATTTTCAGCCTTTGATTTTCTTCTCTAACTTCACCAATTTCAGCTCTGGTTGATTCAAGCTGATCATTTTCCTATATATATCCACAAGGTAAGGAAGAAATTAATAGTCAGAAAAACCCATTGACATTTATATGCAAGCGAATTAGACGTTGACATGTACAAAACATGCATGAACAAGCTAGCTAAGCTATAGTTTTTCCTAATAACATCTCTCCTACTTTGTGAACTTTTCCTAATTAAGATCACCAAGTGGGTAGATGTGATTGTCAAAAAGGAAAAAATCATCAAGTGGATGTCAAGTAGAAAATGAACACATATAAATAGATGTCCAAAAAAAAAATTATATAAGAAAGTGAAAAGCATGCAATGAAATTATAACACAGATTTAACAATCAAAGTCCACGTCCTAGGCCTACTGATCAACAATATTTCACAACGGCGTGCAAGAAATTATGAGTACTACTAGTACAGTAGTACTCTTGATTAAAAGTCATGATCCACCATTAATAATTCCTCCTTTATAATCAGCACATAAATATCATCACCATTAATGTTTTTTTTTTCTTTTTTTGTACGTAGTGTTGATTGATGGATTATGTCTCTAGAAGTAAAAACACAGGACCTACAAGATTTGTACGAGATGTGTGTAATTTCTCGTTTTTCCATTCAGAGGTTCACATTAGCACGTGTTTGTAATGTTTGGATTATTCGTATCTTGTACAAAAGCAGACGAAGCATGTGTACTTTTGAAAGTCAAAGATGGAGAAAGGTGAGTGAATATACTTCCATTTATCATTTGTTAAAACCATGGGTATGAACGAAATTTATAATTATGAAATTATATCATGTCTGTTCGATTGTTAACTAATAATAAAGATTGGATCAGCTAAAACATTTTGTTTTGAGATGCGAGTAAACATGATTGATTTAAATGTTACGATGTATATAATTTGTAATGTAAGACAACGATGATCTTCAAAATATTTATTTTTGAGTACAAAAAATGGTGTGTGATCTATTATCTATATATATATGCGTGTGCGCGCGCGCGTGTGTGTGTATGGATGTATTTATATGTACATATATATAATACATATGATGTTTTCTTCTCTGATTCGAGAAATTTATACCTCTTTGCTGCCACCAAGATATTTTTGTGAAGATGAAGATCGTTTTATGTCCTCATTCTCGTCGTATTCGTTTCTTGATTTTCTTATCTGCCGTATACCATTGGACCAACATAAGAAAGACATCGATAGACATATATATATATATATATATATATATATAGTTATACATGTGTGTAGTATATGTGCGTATATATGTATATATTTCCTCGAGAGCGTGAAAGAAGAAAATAGATATTCAATTATATTTAACTGTAAATTTTTCCATATGAGGAATCAACCACAAGATCTACCTCAACATTAAGAAACTAAAACTTAATTTAATTCTTCAATAATATTTTATGATGCTTATCCGGAAAGCTCTCTGAAATATTCTCAGAAATAGTTTTTCCAGTTCCAATTAAAAATCGACTTGAAATTGTTACATATTGTTGCTTCTTCTATGTGGATCTTTATGTTAATTTGAAGCAAACAAACAAACATACATACATACATACATACATACATACATACATGTATATAGGAAAACCGACTGAATTTAGTTTTGCTTACTTCTATAAAACATCCAAAACTAGGAACTCTAGAAATTAACATGAAAAAGATATGATCAATTTGAGAACATGTTTCAAGTATACATGTGTTTGTATATATATGTATGTATATATATATATATATATAATACATATACCTTGTGAGCAAAGTTGCCTTCATTGCAATCTTCTTCTTCATCGCCATTAGATTCAACCCATTTAATCTCTCCCTTGACAACAAGACCTCCATGACCAGATCTTGATCCTGAAATGCCCTCCATATAATACAGAGCCTTAATAACTAATTTTCTCCACTTTTTTTTCCCTAATTTCCTTCTTTGAGTTCAGCTTTTTTCCTTTTGGCTTCCTCCTTTCTTATATAGATAGCATGAAGTATTTGACCAATCACTATTCAAAACAACGAAAAAACTCACAGCCTTCCCATCAATGGATAGATTAACCAGCCACTTTCTAGACATACATTAAAATAATACTTCAACGGCCTAATATATTGGGTTTTTTTTTTTTTTTTCCAACTGTCTAATATTGTTATTACAATTTAGTCTGAGAAAACGCAAGGCAATATGTAATAGTATTTTTGTCATTAAAAAATAAAGTAAGAAGAAGAAGAATTCAACTTCAACGTTTTAGATTCACACACACACACACATATATGTGTGTGTGTGTGTGTGTGTGTCAGAAAAGGGCAAAAAAAAGGGGGTTAAGAATTAAGAATTTTGCCGCAAAACTCGGTCCCCACATTATACTAGTTGCTACCGTCGTTGAAGTTTCCTACATTACAAAAGTCACATGGTAGGGAAGGTTTTTGTTTTTATTATTTTTTTCCTTTGTCTTTATAAGAAGATTTAGGTCAACCTTTGGCTTAAAGCGTGGTTTTTCAGGCATTGTTCACTTTGTAAATTTGAGTTTTCAATTCGAACTGAGATGTGACATTTTTAAGAGTTTTTAATTATAATATGAAAAGTTAGATGTAATATTTTCTGAGTGTTTTTAACTGTAAGAACCTAAAAATAAAAACTCGAATCGGTGAAATGAATGAGGCCTCAATCTCTCTCTTTCTCTTTTTTTTTGGATCCATGCACTTGATCCTTTACCTAATTAAATTAAAGTAATTTCAAAGTCTGACTAATTTATGCATATTTCATTAACCGAAAGTAATCAGGACAATGCGGGGAGGGGTTATCTCAATAATTTAATCCTGATATATAAAGCATGAGTTTTTTTTTTTTTTTTTTTTCCAACTTGATATATCAAATATATAGATATAGAGTGTTTAGTGTATAAAACCAAAAACTTACTAGCTTTGGCTGCTTTGCAATCTTGTTAGATAATATAATTAGACAATAGATTATGACTTTATAACTATTTTACCTCATTTTTAAATATTTTCTGAGTCGGATATTGATTAAATGGATAAACATAGCCATGTTATTAAAGTAAAACTTGATAATACAAGGAATAAGTATGTTACATGTAATATAGTGGCGTGAGAACGTTTAATAGTACTCTTTAAATAATCAAATTTCCGTTCCGACAATTAGAAAAATTGTACTGACTCCTATAGATGTTCAAGATATTGAAATTCTTGTTTAGATGGAGTCAAAGTCCATGCAAAATGTCAAAGAAATAAACTATATAGACTTGAGTTCTATCTTATTTTTGCGTCTATGACTGGATACACCATATAATTACGAAAAAATAAAAGTCAAAATTAGCAATCTACAAAGTCAGAAATTTTTCCTTCCCTTAATCCCCGAAGACATATATCTCTTCTTGGACTCCCATGTTTTCTGAAAAAATCATGTTCCAGGATTGCTAGTGAGAACACGAGTTAACAAATTAATTCCACATATTACTACATAACACCAAAGGGTACTCAGATCTTCTATTCCATTTTGATGTTATAATTGGTGTCTAACCAATCATATCATATCACGTCATGTAAAAAATTTAAACAACTTTTTAACTAACTTTTTGTGCTTATCATGAGATGATATGACATTATATGATTGGTTAGACACTAATTAAGACACTAAAAATTAGACAAAGGATCTGAATCCACCGAAAGGAGACCACATAATTAATCTTATTCAACAAAGTTAACTTCTTATAGTGAAAGAGTGAAAAAAAAAAGAGTGTAACATATAAAACTTTTATTTTTGATCTGATAATTAATTAGCATTTATGTATATTCATGAATTGGTGACGGCCGAGGAAATATAATTAAATATTGGATAATGGTATATTTTAACTTCTCAACCACAGATTTGGTATTGTTAAGAAACCTTAGCTTACTAAGCAAGCTTTGCAAAGTTTCTAGTATAAGCTTCTGTAGTAAAAACGTACTCCACAAGTTTTCAGTAGCTTTATGTAACTTATGTATAAATAGGAAGATAATGTAGCTTGCTGATTTAATGATTTAGGCCTCGTTCGTTTCGCTGATTCGAGTTTAGAATTCGAGTTTTACTACAGTAAAAAGCTCTCACAAACAATCACATCTAACTTTTTTGCTACAGTAAAAAGCTCTCACATACAATCACATCTAAACTCAAATTCTAAACTCGAATGATCGAAACGAACGAGGCCTTAGATAATTCATTCAATATACAATATTCTTTCCAAATACACTACGACAGTTTTCTTTATATGGTATCAGAGCTGCTTTGTCGGTGATGGAATCCTCTCCGGCGAATCTCTCTCTGGTGACGGAATCTGTTTCTCAAGCGTTCTTTTGTCAGATCCGGTGTTCCTTTGTCAGATCCGGCGTTTCTTTCTTAGTTGATTAACCGAGTAAAGGTGCTCATTCCTCATACGTTCTTTTGGTCAGATCCGGCGTTCCTTTGTCAGATCCGGCGTTCTTTTGTCAGATTCGGCTTTCTTGTGTTAGATCCAGAGATCTTCTATCAGATCGAGTGTTTCTTTTCATCGATTAACCTAGTACATGTGTTCTTTTTAGCAATCGCCATGGAAGAAACCTCCACAGCCGTACAAAAGAATCTTTCTTCCTTACGATTTACTCTGGTAACCTTCTCACACTCAATTTCTTCGAAGTTAGACAACAATAATTTTTTGGTCTGGCGCCGACAAGTTCTTGCCACTGCCCGCGGTTATCACCTTCAAGACTTTCTTTTTAACTCAATAAGATTGCCTCCAAAGTTTCTTTCTCCAGAAGATGAACTTCTTCGTGTGATCAATACGGCGTATCTAGAGTGGGAACATCAAGATCAACTGATCGTGTCGTGGATGCTAGCCTCCATGTCTGATTCTGTTCTTGCTCGAATGGTCAACTGTGAAACTGCAGCTCAAGTTTGGCACACGGTTGAGGTATACTTTGCCTCGCAAATTAGAGCCAAAAAGTCTCAGTTTAAGACTCAATTACAGAATACACGTAAAGACTCTTTGACTATTAATGAATATCTGCTTCGAATAAGACATTTTGTTAATATGATTGCTCTAGTAGGTCATGAAATTTCAACTAAGGATCATGTAGATGCAATATTCAATGGTTTACCTTATGAATATGATATTTTAGAGATCAGTGTGAATTCTAGTTTCAATGAATACACTGTTGAAGAAGTTGAATCTCTAGTTCTTGCTCAAGAAGTTCGTATTGAGAAAGCCTTAAAGTCTAGTGATGGTTTTGGTTCTTCTTCTTCTGGTCCTACATCTGTTAATCTTGCTATGACTAGGACTCAGTCAAATTCTGCTCCAAAATTTAGTGGTCCTGGTTTCGGACATCCTTCTTCTGGAATTGCTGGTTTCTTTTCAGCATCTCATGTGTATTTCTCAGGTAATCCTAGACAGGGTCATTTTTCTGGTAATACAAATAACAGGGGCAGAGGACGTTTTGGAGGATTTAACAGAGAGCCTTGGAACAACAACAAAGTGCAGTGTCAACTCTGTGGAAAGCAAGGTCATGTTGTTATACTGTGTTATTACCGTTTTGACAGGTCTTTTGCTGGTCCTTCTCAATTTTCTCATCAGGTTCAAGGCAACCTAGCTCACTTCCAGAGTTCAAACCCAGAGTCTGAAGCCTTTCAGATGGGTGCTATGCTTGCTACTCCAGAGGCAGTTCAGAATCCAGCCTGGTATCCAGCTGATTCTTCTGACATGGACTAGTATCCTGACTCAGGTGCTACCAACCACTTGACTGCTGATCGTTCAAACCTCATAACCAGTTCAGAATTCTCAGGCTTTGATCAGGTGTACATGGGAAATGGGAAGGGGTTACCTATTAAACACATTAGTTCTTCTAGTTTCTCTAGTCCGTTTATCATTTCCAAAACTCTTACTCTTAAACACTTATTACATGTCCCTGAAATTCGTAAAAATTTGTTGAGTGTCTCTAAGTTTGCCACTGATAATCATGTTTTCTTTGAGTTTCACCCCACTACTTGTTATGTCAAGGACCTTACTTCCAAGATGGTGCTGTTGGAGGGTCGTCTTAAGGATGGCCTCGATGCATTTGACAACTCGCAGATCCGTCTCCATCTCCAGCCATTTCCTCCGGTTTGTTCTTCACAAACTGTTCAACCATCTGTTCAGCCATCCTCTTCTTTTTCTAATCATGTAATTCATGTTATTTGAGCTTATACGAGTACTGTCAATTCTTCTCATTTTGAACTATGGCATAATAGATTAGGACATCCAGCTGACAAAGTTATATAGCTTGTTCTGAATAATTGTAATTTCTCCAACATCAATAAAACTTCACTCTCTACTTGCAAGTCTTGTTGTTTGGGTAAAATTCATAAACTACCTTTCTCTCTGTCCCATACTACTTACCACAAACCTTTACAGTTGGTTCATTCAGATTTATGGGGTCCCTCACCCACTAATTCTTCCAGTGGATATAGATATTACATTCATTTTATTGATGCTTATTCTCGTTTCACTTGGATGTATCTTTTAAGAACAAGGTCAGAAGCTTTACAAGCCTTTATCAATTTCAAAACTTTAGTGGAGAAACAGCTTGATTTACCTATTAAGTGTCTACAAACTGACTGGGGAGGGGAGTTTAGAGCCTTTACAGACCTTCTTGTTCAACAAGTAATAGAACATAGGCATCCTTGTCCACATACCCATGAGCAAAATGGAGTTGCTGAGCGTAAGCATAGACACATTGTTGAAACAGGTCTAACACTCCTTGCTCAAGCCTCTATGCCGTTTAAATACTGGGATGAGGCATTTCGTACCTCAGTTTTTCTTATAAACAGGCTGCCAACACCTTTACTTCAAAATAGAACTCCTCTGGAAGTGTTATTTCACACAAAACCAGTCTATTCTCAACTTAAAGTTTTTGGGTGCACTTATTATCCAAATACTCGACCTTATAACAGGCATAAAATGTAGTTTAGGTCCACACCTTGTACTTTTCTGGGTTATAGC